TTCCCAAACCAACATTAGCTAGAAAGAAAATGTGATTGATAGTTCTATAATGCTATGCTTGCAGTTATATTTATTTATAGGAATATGCTGTCAGTAATGTGAATATTTATGTAAAATACATTTAATGTTTAAGTGCATAGGAAAACTGACTTAAAACAGTTTAAATCATTTCAAATTTTCAGTACAGTCCAATCTTATTATCTCAGACATAACAGGACCAATGAAGTGTTATATTTAGGGTTAAATTGTGAAAAAAAGGGATTGGGACTTTAAGCTTAATTTGGCATATCCATAGTAAATCAGATACCCAGTTCAAGATAGTTAAGTTCAGCTGTATTTTGGTTTAAATACTTATTTAATTTTGTTGCAGTGGAAGAGAGTGTGATATAAAAGTGTCCCTCAAAAATGTTGACAAGATTCATGCAGTTGTTTCAATTGAAAGGTCGAAGGTAATATACTAACTAAATGTAAATTTATCATTGCATGTAGTTTTCTAAGTTTTCTGATTTGACAAATATTTTTTCATAATATTTTCATCAGTAAGTTTTGTCTTGATTTTACCCATAAAAATTCACTTAATGTTTGAAAAAGGAATAAAAAATGCATCCTCATAATTGTCACTAAACTGTATAAATTATTATTGATTTAAAATCTCTATTTCTTATTAATTATTACTCCAGGTGTAGGTAGATTGCCATCCATCTACAACTGTCTTCATCCTATTTGCAGCGTCAGCCAACGGTTTTCTAATCCCATTAAGGATTTTATAACCTCTTCGTCTCTAAATGAGACACACTTTCCTTTTCTGTTCTCTGTAAAATTTGAAATCATTTTATCATAAGATGTATTTTCAATTTCAAGTATTATCATAAAACAAACACATTAAATTTGGTGTTGACTCAGGCTTCTTTGGAGAAGTGAGAAAAAATCCTAAACTGTTTAACTCTAAAAGGAGAAATGATTGACTGATTGTTTATTGTTTTGACGTCCCTTTTGAGAATTTTTCACTCAAATTGAGATGTAAAAGGAGAAATGAATTCACCAACCGTTGAGAACTTACATCACAGGGACCAGAAAAAAACCCAATTACAGTAGTAACAGATTTCGAAAAAGTGATGACATTCATAAACACACAAAAACATTACAACCAATTAGAAACTTATTATATAAGAAAGAGAGGGAAAAATGCTACTCCATGATTTGGAAAACACTTATAACATAAATTCGAACAAATTAACTGAGGTTTTAAACAAAATACTGTAATCTAACTTTTATTCGTGACGACTTTATTTCGCGATTTGCCGGGGGTAACCCAGTTCGCGACGAAAGATTTTCGCGAAAAAGCCTTTTCAGGTTTCTTTTTTATAGACACATAGACTTTAAGAACCGGTTCGCGACGAGAAATATTCGCGATGACGAGGCTCTCGCGAACTTCGCGAAAATTTCTCGCATGCGAATAAAAGTTGGTTTACAGTAAATAAGATTTTTGAACAAATGAAAGAAAAAGTGAGCTAGCTCACATACCCCACGCTCCCCCATAACTTGACGGTGAAACACATAATGAAAGGCACAGCTAGTGCACTTTAAATACATAGTATAGATCAAAAAGGACAATAATTGCAAAAAATCTTCTCATAAAAATGTCTTGCATATGAGGACATTTAAATGTGGAATGAAGTTTCTAGATAAATAAAGGAATCAAAATTTCTTGACAATATACAAATCTACACATTAATTTGAAGTGGGGGGGGGTGAGAAATTTTCTTGAATAATAGTCAAGACTCTTTGGGATAAAATAATGGAAAATGTTCTAAATATCAGCATAGGTTGACAAAACTATTAAAACAGTTTAAGAGGAGTGTGGTGCTGACAAACTGTTCATCTCTACATTTAAAATATGGCCAAAAAGTCTAAGTTGGAAAGTGTGGAAAATCCCAGAAAAATAAAGGAATCGAAATTTCCTGGTAATATGCACATCTACATATTGTGTCCTAAATATCTGCAAAGTTTACCTAAATTCTATGCAACAGTTTATGAGGAGTTGCGCTGACAAACTGTTCATCTCTATATTCAAGGTATGGCCAAATGCCCAAGTTAAAGTGCGGAAATTCCCAGAAAAAATAATGGAAACAGAATTTCCTGGTAATATGCACATCTACACATTGTGTCCTAAATATCTGCAAAGTTTGACGAAATTCTGTGCAGCAGTTTATGAGGAGTCGCGCTGACAAACTGTTCATCTCTATATTCAAGGTATGGCCAAATGCCTAAGTTAAAAGAGCTGGAATTCCCGGAAAAAATAACGGAATCGGAATTTCCTGGTAATATGCATATCTACACATTGTGTTCTAAATGCCTGCAAAGATTGACGAAATTCGGTGCAGCGGTTTATGAGGAGTTGCGCTGACAAACTGTTCATCTCTATATTCAAGGTATGGCCAAATGCCTAAGTTAAAAGTGTGGAAATTCCCGGAACAAATAATGGAGTCGGAATTTCCCGGTAATATGCATATCTACACATGGTGTCCTAAATACCTGCAAAGTTTGACGAAATACTGTGCATCGGTTTATGAGGAGTTGCGCTTACAAAAAAAAAAAAAGACTGACTGACTGACTGACGGACCAGTCAAAAACATTATACCTCCCGCAACTAGTTGCGTGGGGTATAATTAACTGAGATTTTAAACAAATTAACTGAGATTTTGAACAACATATAGTTGTTCTTCCCATAAACCTATAAAAATAACTCTTTGTTCTATTGGTGATAATGATGAAACTAGCTGGAATGAGAAGGAATGGTTTGTTTGTGACATTTTACCTTATTAAACACTAACAAGAATATATCTGTACGGAAATCTGATCTCAATACATTATGCTCATGCGTTTTCTCTTTCTCTCTCTTCCCCAATGAAAAACAATGATTGTGATTCTTGTTGATTCTCAAGTGTGGATCCAGGATTTTAAGTTATAGGAGAGAGAGAGAGGGTGATAGAGAGGGAGAGGGTGTGTGTGAAAGGGAAAGGGGTAAATAATTTATATTTTTGTTATTTAAAAAACTTAAATTAATTAATTTTACATTTTTCTAAATAATTTGTCATTCCTGGTAGTAGAATATGAATTAAACAATTTCAATTTATGTTGGTATGGCTGTGCTTTGTGAAGCGAAAATAATATTTTTGTTTGTCTTGTGAGTAAACATTTATGTAAATTATCATAATTTAAAAAAATGAAAAACTAGAGGAACTGTGAGGAATGAGCCCACTAAATAATACCCCCCTGCCTCCCATATGAATATAATGGCAGTATCCATGTTTTCCTCTGAAAAATCCAAAATATATGTCAGATCAAAAAAGTAATTAAAAGAGGTGTACAATTACAATATGTAATAAAGATTCTGTGAAAGTTTCATCAAAATTCCTTCAGTGGTATCTATGAGAGGAGTTGCGGAAAAGACATGGATATCCCAAAGCGTATCAGACGGACGGACATATCGATTACTATATACCCTCCCACTTTTCAAGCGGCGGGGGGGGGGGGGTTGATTATAAAAAACAACATTCAATGGGATTACAACATTTAATACGAATCAATTTGAGTATGAATTGTTTAGTTGAACAGTTTGTTTACCTATCCCATATTGCATTGCGTATAACAGTGTATACTCGCTTTCATGATGGCGGGACTTTGCAAAGCGCTCTGCATATTGGTCTTGTTTCTCGTTACAGTCTGTAGTTCTACACTCTTGGGAAACATTTATTCCCTTAGCTCAGTGTGCACGAACGGTAGATGCAAATGGATTGGTAGTGGAAGCTATATGGGTTGCCTACCAGATGATCAAATCAAAATAACATTCGATCGCTTCTTCATGACAGGACACTTGAATTTGGCATGTACGAGAGTAGAAAAATGTCATATTCTTTAAGCTGAGTTTAACTGCAAAGACGTTGGAGAAGTTATAACACGGTCACCGAGTGTGGATCTAGCAGTTTTCATTGGACGGAAATATTGTGTAAGTAAAATGATTACACGCCAGCATAGTTGTATAATGGCGTGTGTTGTTCCACATGATCCACAACTATTGATTCAGAAATAAACTAGAGAAAAATTATTTTTTTTTTTTGTGATTTTCTGATTGTCATTTTCTGTTATTGTCTGATTATGACAACGAGCACACTGCGGGTGTGACCGGTCGGCAGGGGATGCTCACTCCTCCATGGCACCTGATCCCACCTCTGATGTTTCAGAGGTCCGCTCTGCTCTTATTTTGTATATTTGTTTAATGGACGTTGAGATTGAATACTGTTCGTTTTTTCCATATCCTTCATTACATATCATTCGATTTATTCTGTGTCACGAAATCATTTATTTCGATCGAGCATGGTCTTCATGAAATAAAAACATATACATGTGATGACTGTGTGTGAGTGTGGGGGGGCTACATCTATTACATCTATGTTTGTGTGTATACAGGTGGTGCAGTGTTTAAATCTGAAAGTTTTTATTTATTTTCTTAAAGTCTGTTGAGTGTTTAAATTTATAGTTACACGATTGGGAAAAATTCCTGGAATTTTTGTTATTTGGAATTGATATGGTAAGTGATATTTACTAACAGTTTACAAACAAATGATGAATTAAAAAACCCTGATGTTAGAGGACTAATTTAGTGAGAATTTAACCCTCAGATTATGAAACAATGATACATGTAATCAATATAAACTTTTTCATATTTTCATAAATGATAAATGGTTTTTAATTTGAAAAGGTTATGGACAAGGACGCCACCACCACTTCCTCAACTTGGTCAGCTGATTCCTCCAAGCCTTGCCAGGACTCAAGTTCTCGAATGTCACCCTCTGAGAAAATCATCAATGAACCATGCACAACATCATTTTCTCAAATCATCATCAAGGTCAATTTTTTTCCTTATTCATTCCTAAATAAAAACTATATATTCCTATGTAAAACACGAGTTTCATCTTTCCTGGCTCCGGGATCATGAAACTGTCTTAAGTCTTAAGTCAGACTTAACTCCAAAAATTTGCACTTAAATTTTAAGATAGATCTTAAAGTGGATCTCAAAAAAATGTATTAAAGTTAAGATTGGAATTTTGTCTTAAATTTTAAGACTGCTTATGGGCAGTCTTAAGTTTTTAAGTTTGATCTTAAGTTCTATCAATATGGCCGCTCTTGTTGGTTTTTTGAGAAGAATTCAAGACAAAAATGACAATACCCTGCGCCAAAGACGTTGCCTCCCTCGCCCCAGGCTTTTCAGGGATCGGCTGAACCCCCTGGAACTCAGAACAGATGATGAGCTGTTCGAGAGGTATCGCTTTCGTCGTCCCACGATACAGTTTCTCTTTGACACCATTGGGGACAGAATAGAGCACCCAACTAAGAGATCGTTAGCACTGCCTGCCATGGTCCAGCTACTGGTTTTTCTCCGGTTTGTGGCTACGGGGGCCTTTCAACAACTTGTGGGGGATGCCATCCACATCTCCAAAGCTACGGCTGGACGATGTATTCGCAGGGTGGCTTTTGCATTAACGAATATTGCTGGACGTTTTATTCAGTTCCCTTCGGGTCAAGATGCCATCAACACACAGAGAATGTTTCATGCAGTCGCAGGTATGGACTTTTGGCTCAGCTCATGCGTTTTCACAGCCGTCTGTTCGTGACCTTCACATTGAAAACAAACAACAGCGCCTCCTTCAATCAGTCAATACGTTTCGGCCTACAAGTATTTCGGTCTCAACTTTTCGACCCATATCTCAATTCGTTTCAAAGGCATTTTTTTTTTACATCTTGCATCTTATGATAATATCAATAATAAATAAATACTATTATTAAATAAATCGACCATTATCTAGTGCGCAGCACAGTTAAGGTTACAAAAAGGAGGCGGAGCCTAATTTGTACGGGAAAACTTGACTATGACATCATACACAATATATGTCATACAACATTTCTTTAAAATGCCACAAAATGAGTTTATCTGCTAATTTAACAAGTAAGAAATCATCAAACTACATAAAAACTTACTACAGCGTGTTGTTTTGTCGTTAGTTAAATCCCACATAACAAGTTATAAACAAGTCGCTGAGCGCAATACACTTGTCAATATGACGTCATTTCTTACAACGTGACGTAGTTTGTATGCAGTGAGACACAGATCAAGCAATATTTTCTCAACAAAATATGCATTTTCTAATTAAATAAAATATTATTTACAGATATTCTATGGGCCAATAACTTGAATTTAATGTCTTCTTCGCTATTTTAATAATATATTTTCTGTACATTACGTATTTAATTAACACTGCCGTATATTTGTATGCAAGTATATCGGAGGGTAATGTGGGGGGTCTTTATAAATCGATCTAGTGCAAGGGCATACACTCTATGGATCAAAGTAAGTTTTTACATTTCAACTATAGAACTATTAAGGTTTCTGAAAAGTGCTGCGATCCTGATGAAATCTTAAAAACAATTTATTTATATCAATATTTCATGCCGCTGACCAGCAAAAAATATAGCATTCGGTCATACAAGTATAATTTTAACTATGAAATTGCAGAATTTAGACAGGATCGCAGCACTTTTTAGAAACTACAATACGCTTTGAAAATATTTATATACTAAACTTGGAAATATATCTTGGTTATGCCCTTGCACTGGGGACATTTATATGTATCATCAATACTTCAAGTCAGTGTGCTAAAATCGCGTGACTGCCGCATCACGTGACCTGTTTAAATATAAAATATAATCGTCTTCGATATGTAGTTATTAATCATAATTACAATTATCCGATATAAATAATGTACTAAAATTAATCGCCATCCCGATTATGAATACATTTTTAAATACAAAATTTAGTCGATATTTCCATTGCGCACCTTAACTGTACAGCGTGAAGTCATTATGTTTTGATGAATGTACATTGTTACACAAAGAATGTATGACAGAAAGGAGGGGGTGTTACTGACATGTAGTTAAAGCTTGTCATAAAAAAACGCATATTGTACGATACAATGTCACCATTTACACAATTTATAATTTTATTATCATGTTCAGTGAAGCATAATCTTATTCTTGTACATCAAAGACATGTTGTCTCTGGATATATAAATATACATACATTGAATTTCATATATTCTTTGTATGTTTTTAAAATTCAATTTCAATTTCTCTCATCAAGATCTATTATTTATGAATAAAAATAACAAATTAAATAATTAAAGAAATGAAGACATATCATTTTTGTTGCTGTCAACCTGAGAGGAATATTAATTAATCCATTAAATCTTTTTCTTGTAGGGTTCCCTGGTGTGTTGGGGTATGTTGATGGTACCTTTATCCGCATCCAAACCCCAAAAGAAAATGAGCCAGATTATATTAACAGGAAAGGATATCATTCCTTAAATGTTATGGTATTTGTTAATTTTTTATTAAAAATCATTATGATTAAAATTAAAACCATTCAATTATGAGAAGTTAAAAAGAGATTGAGGTAAATAAGCTTTCATTCAATGATTTCATTAACTTAAGATATTTAAGGTAAGGCAACATTTTAGTTTAATTTTAGAAGAGAGTTAATTTATTTTGAAAGAATAACAGTTGAGCTAATACATTTTTAACATATTTTAGATGACCTGTGATGCCAACTTTATTATAACTAACTGTCACGATTCCCGGGTATTTCGAGAGAGTGTTCTATGTCAGCAGTTTGAGAATGGTAATTAATTAATATGATAATATCCCTGGCTAGAAAATCATGTTACAGAATTATTAAATACAGTGGATATTATCTATATTGATACTTATTCTTCATGTTCTTGCTTTTTAAAGTCAATCCAATTCAATCAAATAATCATAAACATTTTTTATTCTTGAATACTATTATGTATTTGTGTAGTACCACTGATACACTGTACAGAATAATTTCATTAACTGATATATCATATTGTCATATTCCTGTATGACCTCCTGAAAATGTTCAATATAGTATTTAATTGATATGAAAAATATGGAAAATGTAAAAACTAGGAAATATATTAAAGAACTAAAAACCCTGTAACGTTTATCAGCTTTATAATTTTTATATATTTCAATAAAAATAGTAAGCTCAATTAATTAAATGAGATTTAATAAGTATAATGTTGAAATACCCCCGGTATTTTTCAATATATTTGCTGAATCATACCGCATTTTTTGTCATTTGATTAAATTAATTGCTGAATCTTGTCAGTACACTGTAATTCTGAATTAATTTTTAATATAATTTTCTCTATTTCAGGTCAGCATAATGATATACTTTTGGGGGATTCTGGGTACCCTTGTCGAACATATCTCATGACACCGTACAACAATACCAATGATGTCAGATACAGAGAGCGTTACAACAGTGCACATTGCAGAACAAGAGTCCTCATAGAGCAGACTTATGGTATACTCAAGAGAAGATTCCCTTGCCTGTCTGTTTGCCTCAGAACAAAACCAGAAAGAGCCTGTCAGTACGTGGTTGCGTGTGTTGTCCTACACAATATAGGAATCTTGAGGCAAGATATTGTGTCTAAATAGTTGAATAGATTTATGTATGACTAGACCTAAGACGAACATTTCAGTATAATAGTGCAGAGTAGATTCATAGTTATCGATTAAACCGATACAAATAGATTACACTGATGAAAAAACCCAACCCGAATTTTCTCTTAGACAGACATGTTTATAGACAGACAGATAAATTTCACTAGTATACCAAAAAACATCCTGACATGGAAAGATAAAATGAATTCTATTTTTACATAATAATAGAAAAACACTTACGCTGTGGTCTAAGACAAGACTGTCAAATGTTAAGGTTAATAAAAGGCAAAAAAGTGTGCTCGGAAGCACATGTCGACAATCAAAATGAGCCATTTTTCTGCGCATAAAAGAGAGAACCAAGGTAAACATACAAAATTCCGGGACGGCACACTGACGGATGGTTAGGTGAAAATGAAACAATGTGTCACTGGCCAACTTTTTGAATTACAGCCAAAATAACAAAGGCAGTGTGAAGACAAATATTTCCCCAAATGTAGAATTTAGACCTCTTCCAGTCAGAGTACTGGCAAAAACAAGTAAGTGTTCAGTAGAAATCAAAGAATTAGTGAATTTATTCATGCAGAGGATTACAACGTTAGAAAAGTTGTATATTTTATACATTCTGACTTACAAACTGATGCTGAAGAAAATGATGTTAGTTCCAGGAAAAAAAAGTTTGCATTATAACCAATTTGGTCCTGTTTTGTTTTACCAATTATTTTTAACTAATACATTAGTATTTTCCTATTAGACCAAGCCGTCTTGAATTATCAGATTGAGAAGAAGTGGAGTGTAATAAACAACAAGATAAGGATCACCACCGAAAATAAGAAAAGCTCCAAGAAAGATTTTTAAAAAAATTGCCCAACCAAGTCTGCCAGGTCTTCCAACTCCTCCAAGTCAAGATCAGCCTTTGACTTCAAAAACCAACAAAAAGTAAATGCAACAATCAATTGAACAGCAAGTTCCCACCATATCGGATATTTAAAATGCTTCAGCACAATTTTTTTCTTAAATATATCAAATATTTATTTCAAACTATTTGTTGTCTGTTTTTAAACTATAGTCTCATTTTTAGCATCAGAAAAAGAAAATTGTGAACTTCTTTAAGTTGAGCATCTGCAAGTACAAAGCATTTGAACACACAGTTGTTACAGGCAACTATTTCAAAGATCGATGGTCTTGGATGATTCCAAGTACCCGTCGAGAATAACACAGAACGAGACGTGTGTTTTCCTCTCAAAGCACAGAGAAATATTGATAAGCTAATCATTAGAAAAAGCTGAGAAAGATAAGAGAGAATGATGTATTATTACATAGTCATTAATCCCTATTTTTCTACTTTTTGATTTCTATCTGCCTATCGGTGACCTCCAGTGACCTTAGACCTGGTAAAATTTATTATATTTTAGTTTTGGTAAAACTAGACCAAGAAGTTTTAGTTTAAATCTGTTTTTAAATTTAAAACTTTCATATCTGCATTATAATTCAAACTTATTTAAATAAAACAAAAATTCCCATTCCTAAACATTCAGTAATTTAAACTAGTTGAAACTTAAAAAAAAAAATTTTACAGTAAATGTTTGATGAGTTTATTTAAATTGGAACAACTTGTAACGAAGAATCCAGTACAATGAACAGGTCATAAATTTAAGCAACCAATATATAAGTCTTATAGTAAGGGATTTTCTATGACCCTTGTTACAAAATGGCATCCACGGTGAGATTGGTGAACATAGGTAATCAGAGATTACAGAGCTCACCTCAACGAATGTTGTCTTTAAGTAAGGCAAAGTCACACAATTAACCAACAAAAAGTATACATTCCAAAAATGAAAATATTTTTAAAAGCAATTTTGATCTGATACTTTGAAATAGACCTACATAAAAAACTTAAACTACTTCTTCATGAAAATGTAATGAAAATCCAGCATCTGAAGCAAATTTGAGAGTTTTCATCTCTTGATGCAGCATTTGTGCAAGTTTGGTTTATACAATGTTATATAAGCCTTATAGTTTTTGGTAATAGACCTGCAACCATAACTTTTACCTTGTCTACTATCTGAAAAATGTATGTTCAATTCAGCATCCGAAGCAAGTCCATTAGTATGCATCCTTAGATGTATCATCCATGCAAGTTTGCTCATTATAGGGCTCATAGTTTAATGGAAATGAAACATGCATCAAAACTAACATTTTCACTCATCCACAAAAAAAAGGTCAGATTCAGCATCCGAAGCTAGCCTGGAAGTATGCATCCTTAGATGTATCATCTATGCAAGATTGGTCATTAAAGATCTCATAGTTCCTTGGAAATGAAACCTGCGCCAAAAACTTTTAACTAATCACTCAACCAGAAAATGTAGGTCAGATTCAGCATCCGAAGCAAGCCTGGTAGTGTGCATCCTTAGATGTATCATCCATGCAAGTTTGGTCAACATAGGGCTTAAAGTTACTTGCAAATGAAACCTGCACCAACAACATTAACCTGTTCGCTCAACTGGAAAATGTAGGTCAGATTCAGCATCCGAAGCAAGCCCGGTAGTATGCATCCTTAGATGTATCATCCATGCAAGTTTGGTCAACATAGGGCTTATAGTTACTTGGAAATGAAACCTGCACCAAAAGCTTTAACCTATTCACTCAACTGGAAAATGTAGGTCAGATTCAGCATCCGAAGCAAGCCCAGTAGTATGCATCCTTAGATGTATCATCCATGCAAGTTTGGTCAACATAGGGCTTATAGTTACTTGGAAATGAAACCTGCACCAAAATTTTAACCTGTTCTCTCAACCGGAAAATGTAGGTCAGATTCAGCATCCGAAGCAAGCCCGGTAGTATGCATCCTTAGATGTATCATCCATGCAAGTTTTGTCAACATAGGGCTTATAGTTACTTGGAAATGAAACCTACACCAAAAACTTTAACCTGTTCACTCAACCGGAAAATGTAGGCTAGATACAGCATCCGAAGCAAGCCTAGTAGTATGCATCCTTAGATGTATCATCCATGCAAGTTTGGTCAACATAGGGCTTATATTTACTTGGAAATGAAACCCACACCAAAAACTGCACCAAAAATGTTAACCTGCTCCAAAAACATTAACCTGGTAATTCCTTTGCTGAAATTGCAGCATCTGAAACTTTGTCTGGTACAATAAAACACACTAAAACCATCTTCCATGCATGTCTAATCAGTATAAAACACAAAAGTAATTAAAAAGAAAACTGCTCCAAAAAACTTAACCTTAACCTGGGACGCCGACACCGACGCCGACGCCGAGGGTATCACATAAGCTCCCCCCAACTTCGTTGAGGTGAGCTAAAAATTGGACTGGTTCAGCTGTGAACAAATCTGGGACATCGTTGGAGAAGGGACTTAATTGAATATTTCTTCAATGTTAAAGTTTGCCATGTGTGCAAGTATTTACTCATATTTAATTTTGTTTTATAAAATTCTCTAAGCATACTTTGATATTGTTCGCAATTACCAGAGAGTATCTTTTTTTTCTTTTCAAAGACTATTTTTTCACACTCCTTTATTTTGTGTTTGTGTGAACTTAGTATTTTTTATCATAATCTGGACAGATTAATTTTTCTGCTCCAAATTGTGTCCACTTCACTGTGATATTTATGTTCCCCAAACGAAGTTGGGGAACATATTGTTTTTACTCTGTTTCTTATTATGTCGCCCCGAACGAAGTCGGGGACGACATATTGATATTGTACGCATGTTTTTTTTTTATCCAGGCTGTTTCTCGGAGATGGCTGGGACAATCTTCCTGAAACTTTCCTTAAAGGACGATCACTGGTTGTAGTTGTGCAGTGAGGTCGTTCAGTTCCAATATGTCTACCGTTGCCATGGAAACCTGTAAAAAGCGACAAATTTTGTCCGAGAGTGTTCTCTCTGGTCCCTTAAACGTTCGTCATGAAACTTTTCTTATTTTAATGATAAGTATCTGTAGTTCTGCAACTCGTATTTAAAATTTTCATATAATCGATTATTGCCATGGAAACCAGGTGAGAGTTAAAATTCTGAAATTTCGATTTTCTCAATAACTACTCAGGCAATCGTTTTGAAACTTTCAATGTTTATTCCTTGCAATGTGTCAAAGTGATTTCTACTTTCAAAATAATTGTAATGAGTCGCTCACGGTTGCCATAGAAACGAAACAGAAAAAAAGATTCAGATGTACACATGTGTTCTCCAAGGTCTAGGTCAAAGGGTCAAAGTTCGTCGTATCCAATAAAAGTTCTTTTCACAAGGATTACATATTTGAAATACGAAAGCCCTAGTACTTACCGTTCAAACGTTATGGCTATTTACTATGTTCAAGCCGACCCCCCCCCCCCTTTTTGAAGCACACAGCCAAGTAGAATACACAGATATAACATATACAACTTACAATTAACTTTTTAAAATCTTCATTCATAAAATTCAGTTCCCGTCATGTGATATTTTGCCATCATTCATTCTCCTTCTGTTTTGTCTCTTGAATTTATAAATATTTTATTTTATCTATATAAAAAAAAAAATAACGATTGTCAGCTTCATTTATTATCATTTCGCGTTTTCTTGTATATCTATCACTTGTATATTATTAATTTCATTAGATAGTGCAAGTATAAATTAAAAAATTGGTACGTCATTTCCATAGTTTTTATTCATTCATAAATTCTTTGATCCGCTCCTGATGGTTCGCAAAGCCTTGATCACCACTGTATACAAAACATTCATCTCGCCGAAAATGTTCATGATTCCGCTAAACTGAGAAAGTTCACACATGATTTATTATCTCATAACACACATCAGCTCTCTGCAATGCAGAAATGCTCGAATTGAAGGGGAAAATTCAGGAGTTATTGATGAGAAAAATTCAGGAGTTATTATGTCGCCCCGAACGAAGTCGGGGACGACATATTGATATTGTACGCATGTTTTTTTCATCCAGGCTGTTTCTCGGAGATGGCTGGGACAATCTTCCTGAAACTTTC